CCGATCCATCGAAATCGTAATATATTTTTGTCATAAGAAAAATAGAGAACATAGTGAGAAATATTTATGATTAATTTTGGATTAAATTAAATTGGGAAAATTCGAAAAGGGTAGGCGTCGTTTTTGGCTTATAAAATGGGTGGGAGCGACGGTTTCGTATTTTACTGAGTAGGGTTATGATCTTTCACGTGTCTCTCCCTTTCCTCTCTCTCCGTTTGTTTTCCGTTTCTGTTTGCTCTCCCTGTCTCTATTTATCAATCGCGCTTGCTTTCTGTTTCATTTCGCAGCAAAATAATAAATATATAATAATCTTGCTGCGGTTTTCTACCTTTCTTATTTGTTAAGCTTCGTTTGACGGTGCTATTTTTCAACATATATATATATATACACACACATATATTCCCCTATATAATATATACACCTAGCACTCTCCTAATATATAAAACAGAGAGAGAGAGAGGTTTAGGTTTATAATAGGGAAAGAGAAATGGAGGGAAGAAAGAAAACTGGGTCGTCGTCTTCTTCCTTCACCTCTGAGCTTTTCGGGTCGAAGGAGTCATCTGCTTCTTCTGGGATTTTTGGGGCCATATTTGCGCCTTCGTCCAAGGATTTGGTATTATTCCCCTGTTTTTTGAATTATTTTTCTGAAATTTTTGATGGGTTTTTTCTTCTTGTTTTCTTCGATTGTTTAATTAGGTTCCGATTTTTATCTCTGCATTTTTTCGTTTTGGCTTTTGAATTTTGAGAATCGTAGCTGGGTTTTGTTTGATGGCAAATGGGGTTCTGTTCTTTCCCTTTCTTTCATTGAATTTAGCTTCAAGCCTTCGCCTTTACGTCAATTTACGTTGTTTGGGGATGTTTTTGCAATTCTCTCTCTTAAAATCTTGGTGGGGTTTATATTTTCTCCCAAGTTGGGTGAAATTGGGTGAAAACTCTCAATTGTTGTCTATTTTCTGAATTGGATGATCAAGAAAAGTTTTTAATTTTTCATACTGAGATAACATTATTTTATTAATGAAGGGGTTTAGAATATAAAATGGTTGTACACGTTTGTTCTTTTGATTGAACTTTGCTTTATCTCCTCTTTGAATCTCTCTCTCTCTCTCTCTCTCTCTCTCTCTCTCTCTCCTGGGTGATCTTTTTGTTAGATTCTGTGTATATAGTATTTTATTTTTCTGTTGATTCAGGTGTTTGGGAGGGAATCTCTGCGTTCTGAAGTCACTGGGAAAAAGCTCACGGATGATCCATTGCACTTCAAGCCCAGAGATCAGCCAGGTTTGTACGCTTTTTGTATCTTTCATCTGTTGTTTTTCATACGTTATGGGCGAAGTTTGTATTTTTTTTTTGTCCTGTTTTGTTTAGATTGCTTCTTTCTGCATGCTAGGCATAAGCTGGGTTAACCTATTATTTATGAAGGGGGCCATGGCTAAAAGTGCTTCTGGGAAGTTCTTTCGGTTTTTATTCAGGAAGCAGTTGGATTTTTATTATTTCGACGTGCTTCCAATTAAAACTTTTCAAACAAAAGAGCTCGTGAGCATAACTGCTTGGGGTCCGATATGGATTCTGCACTATTCATTCTGGATTGAAAATTATGCTTACTTTCTTTTCAAATAAAAAAGTTTTAATTGGGTTGACCTTTTTAAAAAAAAAAAAAAATTTGTAATTGTAGATCCAAGTAATTCTTGATTTTGTAAGCGTGAATTGTGTGTTTGGGAAGTGTCTGATTCGGATGGATATCGTGTTGTTGCTGCTGCAGATGGTGCCTCGAAAGAGATCGAAGGTGAGAGTAAGAGCATAACAAATATGGACATAATAAGCTCCATCTATAGGGACCAGAGAGTGCAACAACCTTGCCATTTCAGTTCATCAATCTATTATGGTGGCCAAGATATTTATGCTCACCCCCAGAGTACCCAGAACCCTGAATATAACACTCCGGTGAGCGTTTTTCTTTGTTCTGTTATGTTTTATGTATAAGCCAAGCACAAATAGAGTAATTGTGTAAAATTTGAACATCGAGATGTAACTTGTTCATTTCATGCTCTCTATGGCGGGAAATTTTGCCTTGTCATCAGGTGTATTGTGCGTCTCTATCATTTTATGGCAAGAGATAACAAGTCACGTGATGAGAAATATTGACACACAGTTGTGGCACACAAGATTTTCTCTTATGTGGCATGTTATGTCAGGGGATATTGCAAATTATACAAAATTACTATATAACTAAGGAGTTTCCATTTAGAATATGGCTGTTCTTAATTGGGGGATTATTTCGTGATTATTTCAGTACAAGAAAGATGGGACCGAGGATGATTCGGGAAGTGCTTCTAGAGGAAACTGGTGGCAAGGTATAAGTCATACTGCAATGGTTTACTGGAGAAATCTGTATGTACTGTTCTAAAACTTCTGACATTGTTTTTTCTTCCAAATTTTCCATATCTGCAGGGTCCCTCTATTATTAAGGGCTCCTTTGCCGAGGCTTATACTCGTCAAGGTATGTTACTTACGAAACGTTACTGGAATTTACCATTCAGGTCTCCAACAATTATTCTAATAATTACGTATCTAATTTGACTCATGGACGAATATGCAAGAATACGTTTCAATATACAATATAGACACTTTCTTGTCGGTGACACGTCATCTACCATTTGAGTCTGTAACAATTATTCCATTAATTACATATCTAATTAGACCTATGGGCGAATATGCAAACATACGTTCAAGTATCTATAATATAGACACATCTTGTCAGCAGAATGTCATCTACCAATTGTCGGTGGCACATCATAGGCCATTAATTATATATCTAAGTTGACCTATTGACGAAGGCATACGTTTCGGTATATACTATATAGACACGTCTTGTCGGTGGGACGTCATACACCGTTGAGTCTCCGATAATTATTGAATAATTACGTATCTAATTTGACCTATGCGCAAGCATACGTTTGGGTATTTACACTTGTCGGTGGTACGGCATCTACGTTGTCCTTATCTTTTTCTTCTTTTTTTTTTTTTTATGACCTCGGTGAATTTCGTTTTTTAACATGCCTATATGTTCAATCATGACATTTACCTTTAGAATCTTACCATATGAAGCATAGGTTTTTTCCCTCCTATTAATATGTATACAAAGGTTTTTGTCAAAAATCGTTCATCCGGTTTGCGAACAATAACTTTGGTTCTTCTCGTTTCAAATTGATCAATGTTCCTCTAATAGTTTTATTTGTGTGACCTTTGTGTATCATGTTTTGCAGATAATATAGGAAGGAAATAGGGTAGCAGCAGATGGTTGTGGACACAGCTGGTTTGTTTTCCTCCAGCCCCCCAAACATAGTACTCACATGTATGCACCTTCTTTAGTTTCTCTGTGAAATATGTACTCTCTCTCTCTCTCTCTCTCTCTCTCTCTGTGTTCTACTATAAAGGATGTTTGGTTTAGTGACTTAATCATCCTCAACTGCTCTAATGTGGTTGAAGATTTGGATGTAAATTTAGTTTGTTTAATGAATGGTTTGTACTTCTAAGTCCATGTGGTTCTCTTTATCTCCGTTCTCTGTTGTTGTTCTTCTCTGTGGATGGTTGGATAGATAGTTTGTAGTCTCTAATCTACCTATTTGTGGTCCATGGATTCTGACCTGAGACAGAATCTGATCGATGGGCATGAACCCAAATTTGAACCTATGTTGTATATGTGGCTGGTTTTTAAAATCACCTCATATAGTCCCAGTGATAGGGTTATCCTTCGGGGAAAATGTTCTCTTTTCGGATTGTCTAGTTCACGTTCAAAGTAACAATATAATTATGACAAGAATTCTTTGGAAAAGGCTGACTATGAATTGGTAATCTAATTGATTCTTGTGCAAGTATGTGTAGTTAAGATTCATTATGATAATATAAGTATGACAAGAAAACATAACTTTATTTTTCATTCGTATCTATTTTTTTTAATTCTCTTTTTTACTTAAATTGGTTTTAAAAAAAAATTATTTGTATTACAGTTTAGTAGTATTCTTTTATATTTCTAAGTGAGGTTTTAGATACGGATCTTAAAATACAAGTTTATAACTAATTTATTTCTCTCACAAGTGTTAGAAAAAAACTTGAACACGACATTGCATTATGGAATCGATGGTGGTGCACTGTCCATTGTAATTTCTCAAGTGGATAAAAAGTTAATTCACTTTTCTAGCTCACCTCAAATTTAAGATTCCACTTGTAAGTCCCAACGTGCACGAAACTGACAAATCAGTCCTCAAAGGCGGTGGTGGCCCATCAAAGCCAGGATTATTTTGCTTTCCAAACCGTCTTTTCGATTTCTTATCCCAGCCTTTAATTCTGGAGTCGACCTTATCCAACCTGCAAACTATTCCGGACAAGGATTGTTAGTCCTTTTATTTTTTATGTCTTTTCATATCTTTTTATTTTGTGTGATTACAATTAAGTCACGTTATATTTTATATATTTTTTTTATAAAAATAAATAGTAATATAAAATATTAACATAGTTTAACCGCAACTACATAAACAAAAGAATATGGAAAGGCATGGAAAAAGAGAGAATAGACGATAGTTGTCCAACTATCCCATGTCTGATGAGACAGCTTTCGCCATGGTCGTTAAATTAAAATCTGGCCGTTGAAGGCGTGAAAGAAGATTCTTCTGCCACGCTTTTACAAAGTTGCTTCTGATCTTGATGTTACAATGAATGTTTGTCCCCAATTTCTCCAATCAATCATTCATTAAGGGTACGTTTACTTAACGGAAATGAGCGTGCAAACAAACGGTATTATTTTCGTTCATGATATCTCATGGGTTTCCAATATGATCAGTAAAAAAATTGAGTGTTTCCAATTTAAAAAATAAACTAAGATATTACGCCAACTACGAGGAAGTAGTTTATATTATACTTTTACAATCAGAAATAACACTCATTCACGATTTCTCATTATCATCATTCAAGATTCCTTTCATTTGAATTAAGTAAACATGTCATCAGAATCCAAGACAGCTTACCGTTTAGTTATATCATGAAGTAAACAAGTTACGAGGGGTTTGGCAAATTGCACATTTTATTTTACCAGAAAGAAGGATACGTACATGATACAGGCTACTAGCTTTAATTTATTGCCAAATTACAAAGCAGTAATCCTACTTAATTAGTCACACTAGTGGCCAACTGCTTCAAATTCCTTAACCAGACCACTCCACGGCCTTCAACCTTTCCTTACATTCAATCACGGCATAGTATAGGCTGCAACATTAGGTTATGTTAGTAAAAAAATAATATTAAACAAAAAAAAAGTTAGGTTGTTACTAATAAATCATAGTTTGACAATTGCGTAAAAGAAAGTTGTATTTTTATGTTTTAGTGAGTAATTTTAAGTACGTATCATACTGAGAATACTGAGAATTGCATGTATTTATAAATTTACCTCCGCACTTGTAACCGACTGGGCGGTTGGCAAAGTTGCAGCGCTTGGGAATGGTTATGGCAACCTCAGGCTTGACACCAGAGCTCTTGGCAGTGTTAGAAAGCAGGATGGCGCAGAGGCAGCTAGGGTTGTGGCCCAACCTCTTGACTTGCTGACAGCAACTATCGGAAACAGCAGCTTTTTCATATTTTGCAGCATCTGCACAAGGAGCAAACTTGAAGGCCTCCTCATCTGGACTAGCTTTTCCACAAGCACTTGCCCCATCAGCCCTTTCAATCACAGCAGTGCTTAAAACTGCAAGAAACCCTAGTACGCAAATAAATTTCACTGCAGCCGCCATTTTTGTGTTCCTCACAAAGTTCACTATACAGAAGTTTGGAGTTGATATTTTGTCCTATATCTTACAATTCCACAAGGATTATCTCTGTGTGATGAGGTTTTTATACTTGAATCCGATCCGAAAATGTGGGTTTTCCATTCATCCACCCGGTACTAGTGGACGTGGCACTAGAACCAAATTGCTTATTTAATTTTTAAAGCACTTTTGGATACAGAAACTGGCCAGAGGGATATCTGTTTCATTTTTACTCCAATAAAAAATATAGCATTGATCATTAGATAGTATGAGATGAAGCCATTACTGACAGTGAAGATCCTCAAAAAATCCCTTGTTGCTGAGACACCTCACCCAATTCTCCAAAAACTCCATACCGACATGTTCCATTGAAATTTCTCCTCTTCCTATGTGTGAATACGTGTAACCAACTACCACACTAGGTTAAATCTTCCAAGATAAACAACTGTTCAACCACTTCACCAAAAGCAGATAAGAATTAAGTCGGCTGGTCGACATAATGTATCAGCCTCTTGCACTCGAGTTCGAATAACCCTTGCTGTAAACTTTGTCTTCCATTAATCAGATTTGATTTGTTTATATGGACGTGTGTGCAACTATAATTTGTTTCCTCTAACAGACGTCCTACAATTTTAATGCTAGTTCCTTCTGTTTATAGATATTGGACATTTCCTAATGATCAAGGTCTAAGTAATAAGAAACTTCTACCTCAAATGATTAAGAGCATTTATCATTGTATCCGAAACTATGTGTTCAAACCCCACATCACCAACATTGCTTGAATAAAACATTCCCCTCCAGCCTGTGGCCTTATAAAACGTTGGTTCAGGAATATTATGATGCAAGAAGAAACAAAGGTCGAGGGAAGGATAATGAGTTTATGATGCAAGAAGAAACCCCTTGAAGAAGAGCTAATTATGGCAAACGGACTTCTGTGCAAATTATATATATATATATAAATATGTCTTTATCATTTCATATCACAAGTGGGCATTTGGTCTAGTGGTATGATTCTCGCTTAGGGTGCGAGAGGTCCCGAGTTCAATTCTCGGAATGCCCCTCCTTTTTGCAAGTTTTTATTGTCCATGGGAGATGATGCGAGCACTCCCTTCTCAATATCCTTCTCTCCGTATTTTAACAATTACCAGTATTTATTTTCTTATGATTTTTGAATTCATAGATAATAACGTAATTATGTTGAAAATTGCCGCCATTGTTTTCTTCTATTCTTCATATCCACTGCACGAGAAAATAATAAGAATTCATATACTCTAAATCCAAACTCATGTAAAATTTTCAGTTCTCTCTTTACAACTCTGTCTGATCCATGTCAAACAGCAACACGGGTCGGCAACAAACTCAAAACTGTAATACAGGATGCATATCTAAACATGAAACACTCAACTCGTCACCGTTGCAGACATCTCGTTCTAACGAGACTCGACAACCTAATGAACCTTCCTGGGTTCCCCACTCTCAGAAGTCCTCCTATCTCCTTCATAAAAACATGCATAAAGGAGCTAGTTGAAGTGGCTGAAGACTCGTGCGTGGGCAGCCGATGGATTCATTCCTGCGTGAATGAGTCCTGTGATTCCAGGCTTCTTGATGCTTTTGTACGCTCAAAAGAATCCATTCGCACGTGAGACCCTATCGTTTCTTGCATTGTGTTCGATACTGAATCTGGTTTCTCAATTGGATCACTGTAGTCCTTTCCTGTTGCATCGATGTTAAGATAATCAGTCAGAACTTTTTTTACACCCAACCCATGCTGAGGGATCTTGCCGATGGTGATGAATGGTGATCTGTCTCCCCTCAGAGGGCTAACTAGCTGTGCGGGTGAAAAGCTTGGTGTGGTGAAAGCTGTTTTGTATGGTGTGCTTGAGATGGGCACCGAGTATGGAGTAGGATTGCTCTTGTGTGAAATCAGACTCACGTTCGAGATTGATGGGAACTGATCAGAATGCCGCATCAAGTCATCTACATAAAGCAGGTCATCAATGCGTGCCACAATGTTAAATGCCAGGCTCTCCAAAACCCTTGAATAGCTCTCCAAGATGGATTTCCCGACATCCTAGCAGATCAAATTTGACCAATAAGTACAAAGAAAAAAACAATTAGAAGGCATGAATGAGAACAAATTTTTTAGTGGTAAAGTCGGCACCTTATTGTACTGAATCTTGCTCATATCGAGGGCTGTCTGTGGAAGACCAGGGAACCGTTGCTTCAAACACATTAACAAACTTTCTGCTCTTTCTGGAAGCAACTCCTTTTTCTCTGCATCAATCATCAGCTCCTTGACCATTTCCCATGATGACTTCGAACCAAATCTGTTCACAATACTCGTAGGTTTTGGGTTTGCTTTTTTATGCCACAGATAGATCGAGGCCTCCACTCTATTCGCAATCTCTATGGCTTGATGTTCAGAAGACAAATCAAGGAAATCAAGCAGGCATTCTGCGGAAAAATGATCTGACGTAATGTATCGATAAATAACATCCCCTAAGCTTGCTTTTCCATTCTGAAACCAAGTTAAAACAAAAGATTAACAACCATGTCTTTGCAATTACACATCACCGGAATCTTGAGGACGTTTCAAACCTTTGGAAGAGATTCCAGATATGATTCAGGGACTTCCATATCTGCTAAAGTAATACTATTGATTGCCATGGCAGCTTTTAATATTTGACTCGTGCAATCGCGTTTGTGCTGCAATTGCTTTCTTGAATTTTTATGGAGTCCACCGGAAGGAACTCGGGGCACAGGTAGCCACCATTTTTCCTCTTGGCGCTGTAACGCTTTTCGGAAAGAGGTTGACCCATCCGCATCTGGGGCTAGAATCCCTTGATCAACATACCAGAACTCTGTATTGTCAAAGCCATCTAAGATTTCCTGCAAGGACTGGCTAAATTCAGAATGGAACTCTCAAAAATGGATCTAAGTGGCAAATGAAGAAGTGTTTAGAAGCTTACAAGAAGCATGTTATCCAATTTACGAAGGGCAGGGAGATTAACGTAAAGATCTGAGCGCGGTCTGCAAGTCATGACCTGAATTGAAGTATATACGAGTCAGAACAATTTCAAGGAACCGATCACTTAGGACCTGAAATTGAAGTATAAAAAAACATAGCCCTACACTTTAGAGTTGCTTATCACAATATTATCACATAAGTTTATATGAGCATAAAGGCTCCAAGCCTGCATTTACATTACAAATGCACCATTTATAATGCAGCAAATTAAACATGACGTACGCTTTATTAGTCATTACGGGAACTTATACCTATAAGTTCTCACTTCAACTCACAATTGAAAGTTTTAACCATTCTTTAGGTGTCTGTTGCCATTCTCAGTACAATATTTAATTGCGCAGAGGGTTTCTGTATTGAAAGCCGAAAGATATTGTGCTCTTCTAAAAATCCACATTGGTATCAGATTGTACCTCCAATTTGCTTCCATCAGGAAAAGTCTGCCAAGAAGGCATCAACTCAACAATGTGATCACTCACACAAAGAAGCCATTCCATCTCTCTTTGCCACATTGATTTCTTCACTTTTGGTAGAGGTTCTAGTCTCCAAAGTTGCCCGAAAAGGGTAGCTACAAGAGGGAACCACAGAATAAGAAGAATTAGCATCAGAATCTACAACAAACTTTTCGTTAAACAACGCCGCAAATCAACCAATCCATAGTTTTAAGACATTGAGAAAGTAAATCAAGAGCACGTACCACAAAGATTAGTAATGGCATTTGATATCGCCAATGCTGTGCAAACTCCATTTCCACAACCTGACATGTCTTCTCCAAGCAGCAATTTTGAAAACCTTTCCTTCATCAACTCAGTCTCTACAATCCCATAAGCCAAAACCAAACATTTTTAGATGAAAAACCATGAAATTGACATGTAGCTTGAGTGTCGGGCCTATTTGGAATTGCTTCTGTAAGGGTTAAAAGCACTTTATAACAACTTTAAACGTGCTTCAAGGTCCTAAAAGCACTTTAAACCCTAGGTAGGTGCTTCTAATAAATGCACTCCCATCATAAGGGTGTATAAGCAAAAGTGCTTCCTACAAAAGCAGTTCCAAACCAGCTATGAATTGGAGGGGAATAATACCTGATATGGTCGACCCTTGTTTCTCTAGTTTCCTATCATCCAAATGGGTTTTCTCCGCCGCTTCATCACCATTCTCACTGGTGCAATCCGGCGCCTCGCCTTTCTGAACAGGCCAACCCAACGACGGCGGCCAAGATGACTCCTCCGAGCTGCTGTGGCTCTGCTCCTCCTCGTGCCCCGTCGTCTCCGACGTCAGACAATCCGAACTTGAACTGCTCTCACGACCCTTCTCCTCAATCAAATCCTCAAAGCTCCCAACTTTATCCAAAGCTTCACCAAAAAATCCGTCACTTTTCTCCCCAATAACGTCATCTTTCTCCACCAAACCCTCCATTGAAGCTCCTCCTTCGTCACCAAAACCCGGCGAATCACAGAAAGCAGAGTTGTTCACCATCATACCATCGTACCGAAGCCTTCCCAGGCAGCAGGAGTTGGAGATTCGAGCTCTGCAATGCAAGTTCCGGAGATACTTCGACGCCCAGAAACCGAAAAGAGAAAATGGGTTGTGGGAGCTGAGGCTTCTGAAGCTCAGTAATGGCAGACAGAGCTTGAGGTGGTGATCTTGTAGGTGGGTTCTTCCTTCTCTTTCCTCTTGGTGAGTGAAAGCTCTGTCCATGGGATCTCAACCATGTCTGATAGTGAAAGGCAGATGGTGAAATATGAAGAGAAAATGGTGGGGTTTTCTGGAGAGAAGAGGTTTGTGGAGCCGGTAATGATTAATGGAGCTTGATCAAACACATGAACAGCGAAAGAGAGAGGCGCATTTGAACTTTGAAGAGCGTATTTGGTTCGAGTTTATACTAGGAGAATGCTAGCTTTTATCTTCTACTACTGTTTCCGTCTATTTTTTTGGTTCACTTTTTAAAGATTATTTGTGTGATAAAAATTAGAGTAAATGTCAATAACCATCAAACTTTTTTGGAATGATTTCAAATTAGTTTCAATTTTTAAAAATATTTTAAATAACTACTCAACGTTTTTGAAATTAGATATATGTTAGATCATCAGCATTAAGTGACGACTTTATCAATATTAAGTTAGTCTTTACTAATGTTTTGGACAATACTAAATTAAAGTTTGTCTTTATTAATTGTCGTCTTTAGAGCTTTAATTTCCTAAATCGACTCTTTTTATCCAAGTTAAGATGTAAATTTGCCTAGCTAAATTGCATTGATTTGGAATTTCAAAGCTCTGTAGATGACTTGAGAGTTGAGAGTAAGAACCTAGCCGCTTTAATAATTGTCCAGACCATCACTTAATGCTAGTGAACTTAACAAATGTCCACTTTTCAAAACATTAGGTAGTTATTTGAAATGTTTTAAAATGTTATCACAAATTTGGAATCATCCCTAAAGATTTGGTAGTTATTTGGATGTAACTCTAAAAATTAACTAAAATGAATTCGTTTAGTCATCTAGTGTTTATTCATATAAATGGCTAAACTATATTTCTCACTTAAACATTGAATTGAAAATGTTAGTTGAACAGTTAAACAATTCCTAATTTGATTGATTTTTTTTTTCTTTTGCAGAATTAAAGAGTGAGCAAAAAATTAGAAGGTTTTAATCATCAAACAACATTGCAAAATTAAATGATAGAATATTGGTAGCATCTTCTTTCTATTACGTGAAAGATATACTACTTTAAACTAATCTAAAAAATTTAAACTAGGATGCATAGCAAGAGCCGATCCACTTTAATCAATGTGTTCATCTTAAATCTTGAATATTTTTAATTAACCTAAACCGCCAGTAGCTCGCTCTCTCTCTCGTTAGCATTTGACAAGGATTAGAAATGATACATGTGTATTAAAAATAATAATGCTAACTTGGGTTTGAAAAATACAATAAAGAATCGTTATGGGAATCGTGCAATCGACGGATCTCTCAATGATGTCTGCCAATTTATCCTTGTTTAGTTTGTAACTTGGAGCTCATTGGTTGTGGTTGCAATGACCATATTACCCTTCTATAAATTTTGGGATCAAGTGCTCATATGATTGTGTCACACCTTTAACTAGGTCCATAGAGTAAAACAGAAGCATTGTACAGAGTTTATATGTTGATTTCTTTCATATGCTTGTCCTCTGATTGAAAATTCTGCATACACTCAATGGTTAAACCACGAATGAAGGATATCAAAAATTTTAATGTATTTTCGTTGACGGTAAAAAATTTCTTGTTCTTCAAGGACAAGATTTAGTGTTTGCTATCACCTGAAATTTAAAAGCAAGTACTAAAATGTTGAATCCTAGCAAACTATTGTAAAAAATATATATATATTTAAAAAAAAAAAAAACCCTTTTTAGGAAATTCATTTTAAAATACCAAAAAGATGTAAACCCCCAACAAAAAGGTTGGCATTGAGCCCGGGGCATTCCAGTAAAACCGGTCTGCTTTTAGAAGCAGAGTTTCCAAGTTCAAAAACCAATAAATAATTCAAAGTATAGGCCAAAACACTTTGGAAGTATAAAACAAAGTTATGCTGGAAGAATATATCTCAATCTTCTAAAAGGAGTTTCAAATTGTTCATATAAACAGTGCTATAATCTTGACCAAAAAAAAAAGTGCTATAATTAAACTACTGTTGCAATTAATATTATAATAGAAATGTGAGTGTAAGCTAAGTAAGAATCCTACATAAATTAGAAGATTTTTTATTTGCATAATTTGTATTATTTGAAAGGTGAGTAAAATTCATCATAAATAGTATAAATAAGGCACAGATCAAAGAGAAATTAATTAAGATACAGCTGAGTCGATTCTCTCCATCTGTCTGCCCTCTCTTTCCCTCTAAGATATTATTTACTACAACAACTAGCAACTAGTTTTTTTTTTTAAAGTTATTATATCAGATTAGTTAAACAAGTTAACGAAATTGGAATATACAAATCTAAGATTCTATTGTTTGGTTCATATTACAAGGCTATGAAGTGTCAAGTTTACCTATAATGGCCAAGATTGATTAATTTGAATTTGAAATAGCTGTTGGAGAAGACTACTAGATTGACTATATTAAAATTTTCATAAGATTGGAAAGAGGCAAATAATCTTGAGTATGGCCAAAGATACATGGCCTAAGATGCAGAGGTTGAAGAATGTCAAATTTCACATCAGAACTTGACTGTTACACCCTTATCTTATCTAATGAATGTTTTCACCATTATTTGCATCGATACATTTGATTCGTAACTTCACACACACGTTGGTATGTGTATATGATTAAACCAAAATCAGTATAGTAGTCTCTTAATCATCTCTAGGAAATCTTATCGACAAAAAAAATTTGTTTATGGTTTAATGATTTGGGGCATTTCATGATTAAGTTTTGTTTATGCATGGGACAATGGACAGCATTTTCATGATATTGACCAAAGTAGTTAGTGAGAAAGAAATAAAATTAAGATCCATAATAGGGTACTAATTATATATGATCAATATAAAACAACTCTGAAGTCTCTACCAACTACAGATGCCCTAAATTAAGAGAAACTTTTCAAGGTGCCAGAAATATGGCTCATACACCAAGTGTCTGTTACAAGTGGTTTGAATATATTTTTTTTTCAAGTATCCAACTACTTGTATTATGAATTTAATATACGAGCCTGTATTCCCGGCACAAATAAAAATTTCTTGGCACACAAAAAAATTTCCCCTAAACTTATCTCAATTTTGTTTTGTCTGGTGACTTTCCGTGCAAGGCATTATTATGTAATTCCAATTTGTGCGTGATGAATGACATAATGATGGTAGTTGTTCCAAGTTCGAAATGATGAAAAACGTATGTGAAGAAAGAAAGGCTCCTCCCAACCGTTGTTTGGATGTTGACTGCTACCTTGAATAAACGTAGAGGGAAATGCAAACTTCAATTCCAAGCTGCTTCTCGATCTCTAGAAGTTAAAAAGAAAAGAAAAAAGAAGAAAGCAATGGAGCCTATGATAGCATGATGCACCACTTTTGTGCTTTAAATGTTGATTCCTCGTTAAAGCTTGTGTTTCCATTTATTGCCATGGCTCCATCCTCCATTTCAATTTTCATATGCAATTTTTTTTTTCAGAGAATAACTTATATGGCATGGATACACCGTCATGGTGATGCTGTTCTGTGCCAATGAAATAAAAATATGTATAAGTTATTGTTCATATGTCCATGTTTCATTGACACAACACGTCACATGACGGTGTACTCGTGTCATGTAAGTTATTCTCATCCTAAAGAGTCAGAAGCTAGCCCTTTGGCAATTTTTTTCCGGAAATGATGTAAATATGCTACACAATTGATGGACCACAATGCTAACTATTTTTTTTTTTTACAAATCTGGAATTATTATCATTTGTTTAGAGGTGTTAAAGAAGCATAGTGGACCCAAATTGAGATGTGTTACAATGTAACACAATCGCCAACACGTGTCTGGATGATTTCAAATTGTTGATTGTTATGAAATTTACATTTGATCAATGATTATAAATCTCTTAGACACGTGAGCCACTGACTTTAGCAAAATTCTACATGTTTTTCTTATCAAATAACAAATTTCACTAAAAAAACCTTTCAACAATTCAACTATGACAGCAAAATATCAACTTCAGAAAGGCAACAAAACTGTTGATCTTAGGTCAAGCTCATAAGACCAATATCCACCAAAACCCTAAAACGACTCATTAGCCTAAATGAGTACTACTGCCACTGCATCTAGCCGTGAAAGAGATTCTAAACTCATTGACTCTAAGTGACACGTTAGCAATTTTGGGGGTTTCCAAGAGGAACTGCCCTAATGGCTCCATCCATGGGTTACCTTGTTAAAATCAGAAGACGCCCACATACATGCAAGGCTTGCAGCCCAGCACCAGAAGGTAATAGCATTTTGGAGTCCAATTCTCTCGTCGGTGCAAATTGTTAGCAGTTGCAGTAGTATTTTGATTTGGGTAACTTCCAAATGCACCCTAGAATCTAATCAATACATCTAGCATTTAAAAATTTTATTTTCTTTATAAGTGAAAGGTATTAAGTTTGTTGTTCTAAGTACGAGTTCGGTACGATTATAGTTATCCCATTGTGTAGCTCAAATACCCATCCTAATTATCGTTGAATGAAAAAATCATTTAAAGCTTTTTAGGGCTCGATTTTAACATAGGGCTCGATTTTAACATAGCACTCAATATTACATGTATTTTAGCTGTTAGATTCGATTCTACAATTATTAATTCGTCTATTTCAATCATAACTATTTATTTTATGTGCTACTCGGTGCTACATACCATCTAACAGAATAGCAATGGCCTTATAGCAGATATGCTCATCTTGTCTCCCAAATTATCGTTTTTTAATGTCAAAGAAATAATAATTAGACAAACGTTAACATAATCCTTCAAAGAGCACCAAGTTTCAATGAAGTAATGCTGTTGGGGGTTTGGGGAAGCCCATTCAGTAGAGTGGAAATAGCTCTGAAGTTGAAAGGTGTGAAATATGAATACGTTGAGGAGGACCTGCCAAACAAGAGTGCTTAGCTTCTGTAATCCGGATCCAACCCAGTTTATCAGAAGAATCCTGTGGTCCTGCACAATGACAGACCAATAGCTGAGTCCCTGGTCATTCTTGAGTACATTAATCTTTGAGGATTAAGTATATGAGAAAAGTTATCTAGCTAGACGGTGAATCTAAATCATTGATAATTAAGGTTATTTTTAATAAAGTTGATTATAGCATGAATGTATAGTTTAGAGTAATAATCTATCAATATAAGTATGTGCTTGGTGATTTTGCAATAAGTATATAAGCTACAAATTCGTTGTGTCTAGCAATACAAAATGTTTATATTACTAAAACTTAAACATTGATTGAAGTTGAATCTTGTTCAAAATGCATATTTGTGTAGTTTGAATTAAACCTGACCATACATGTCTGAACCCACATAATATTATGGTAGCATAAAAGGTTTATGCTATAAAATATGAATTGTTGATCAAGTTAGTTCTGGTATGAAATATTTCTAGATTAACAACTTGAAAACATATGTCTAGTTACATAAAATGTTTATGTCACAAACTCTTAAGCATTGATCAAGTTGATGATATGTGTTGTCTCATATAATAGTCAAACAACATTAGTTTGACAACTGAATATTATTGTTGAGTATAGGCTAGCTTGGGGTTCCTGTGTTTTTTTTTTTTTTTCAAAACTGTTTCTGATGTGTTGTGAGAATAAATGGTTGTGAAAAAAAAACATAGTTAAGTGCTTGGTAAACTATAATGGTGAAAGTGCTTTTAGCAACAAAAAAAAAAAAAAAAAAAAAAAAGCTATGTTAGAGTGTTGGTAAACTTTATATAAAACAGCTATTTCTGTGTAAAACCAAAAAAACCAAAAAAGATATGTTGCTAAATGTATTTTAATTTAACTAGGTAGTTAAAATACTAGTTAATTTCTTCTTTTTTTTCTCTGTCTTACTTTACCTAGCTCCAATTTTAAATAATTATTACGACAAAATTACTTTTAAATATTGAAATAAGATAGTTAAAATACTATCAAACATATAATAATAATCTAAAATTCTCGAGTTAATTGAAATATCGTCAATTATATAATATATATACTTGAAAATGTAAATATGTAAAAGTTGTTCAATATACAAAATAATCTAATTAGATGCATTCTTCAAAATTGATGCTATGCTATTTCTTAATGCTTCCATCTCTCTTTGATCATGGTGATTTTGGTCTTCTTCTTCATCACCATCACTATCATTCTCTTGACTAAAGTCTTCAGGGTCATCAAAATGCTTATCATGTTCGGAATGCATCCTTATGTAGTTATGAAGAGTCATTGTAGTAGTGACAATCTTCACTTGCTTATTGAACGGATAATTAGGATATCCCTTAAAATTGCCCATCTTTTTTTTTCATACTCCAAATGTATGCTCAATGACGCTTCTAAGAGAAGAATGTCTATGGTTGAATACCTTTTTATGCCCTGTTGGTTGGCCACTCCTACAAAAATATGGGAAATGATATCTTTCGTCTTTTAAACGGTCCCAAACACCCTCTCATTTGTGGGTACCATGCATCTACCAAATAATACTTCCCTTTCAAATGTAAATTTTGTTTAAACAATATTATTATTTCCAAAAGTGAAAGGATTTATAAAATTTTCAGAAATAAGAATTAAGAATAAAGGATTACCACCTAGGGGCTTAGGAAAATTCACACTCCGGCTTCTTAGAACCGATAGAAAAATCCTTGTTCAGGTGCAGTGGCTTCCCATCTAGCACAAGCATATGTGAATTGATGTCAAAAATATACGCGGCCATGACATTTTGATTTGGTCTTCTTTTCCTACCATTATGTGGTACTCAATCAGGAGGAGGTATTGAAGCATCAACATGTACACCATCTATGGCTTCAAAACAATCCTAAAATTAAGGAATTAGGTTTTGAGTTGATCGCCCACTAAAACTCCACGCTGCTGACTTGTCCATAATGAAGTGTGGCTAATCTCATTCGCTAAATATATCCCATTTGTTGAACCGACGGGTATCCGTACTGACCTGGTTGTTAAATTGAGTAACGCAGCTGCGTTTGTCCTTTACTCAAATTCATATTCACATTCACATTTGGGCAAGGAAGTGGACCATGTGCCTGCCACATCATCATTTAACAGCCAAATTGACTCAAAATTTAACGAATGTCTAACATTGCAATAAATCGTAAGTTGATGTATGACATTGTAATGTTTAAAGGTGAGGTATGAATTTGTTATGTGACCTCAAATTAAGGTGGTAAAATGTAATTTACCCTATTAATGAATATCCTTAAAAAAAAACCCAAGTACATCTATGATCATTGCTCCTTAAAATCAGCCTATTGCTAATACTCACAATTCAAACAGCAGACAAGTCGTACGCGGATCATGTGATTTCCTCTTATCGTTTTTTATGATATCGAAAAATGAATTAATAGACAAATGTTAACTACGTCTATAAAGTTAACACAGAAATTGTGAGGAGCAATTTATGAGCGGATTTGCTAGCACGTAATATTACTAATCAAATAAGTTTACATGCATAAACTTGTCATCCGCCTATGTTATAAATTCACACCTCTACAAAATCACGATTCAACAAACCATCCAGTATTCATAATATTTGACTATTGTAAACTTTGTGGCACTAATGACAAATTTTGATGCTTATTTGTAATGCTTTTATAAACACGAAAATCTTGTAATAAATGAGACAAGAACACATATACAAAATAAATTTGCATTAATGAATTTGTAGTGTTACAATCTTTATTTACAAGTTTCCTCTGATTCGATCTCCAAAAGATGTGTAGATGTGTAAGTTGTTGATCCGAGGGTCGCAATGACTTGATCTCGGATGAAGGGTTGCCGTGAGGTTTTGGCTCTTGGCGATTTGAAGGATCGGCACGGGTAGTAGTGCTTGATGATTTTTCAAAGCTTTCTGAATTCTTTTGAGTGTTTTGGGAATTTAGGTGCTTGAGCTTTGGCAGCGTCTAGGTGCTTGAATGATTTCTGAGCCTTTTTCCTTTGCCTTGGAGCCTTGTATTTATTGACTTCCCGAGTCTTGCCTATAGTTAGATTTGGTCTTAATTGTGAGCTTGATTAATTGACAAAAGAACCAGGATTTGATTTGTGGCTTAGATCGTGATTTGTTTCCATCAATCAATCAATCAATCAATTATTTGATTTTAAATCAAATAATCAATCTTGCCCAATTTGGCATTTCTATTTGTTTTTTAAATTAATTAATTTGTTTAATCTAAATTAAAATCAAATATTAATTTCCGCCAATCGTTGACATGTGTCCTTCTTGATGACTCGTCCGATTTTGATGAGTCACATCCACGTGTACGATTTGTGAGACAGATGACATATGTCATGTATGCTTTGAAATATCAAAACTTTAATATGTTGGTGAACATTTATTTTACCTAAATTTCGATATCTATAGCCTTGTTCGCTATGATGTCATAGAAAACAAAGGTTTACTGATAAGTAACTGTGTGACCAAAGTATTTTCTTTTAATATCACTCAGTTGTAATTATTAATAAATATTCTTAAATCAACTAAGTGCATCTCTAACCACTGTTCTTAATAAAATCAGCCAATTGCAAACTAATACTTATAAAGAATCAGACAGCAGACAAGTTGTATGCCGTTCATGTGATTTATGAGTGGAATATCCGTTCGCACATAGTGTTATTAGTCAACTAATTTTATGTGCATAAATTCGTCATTCACCTATTTTATAAATCCGCACCTCTATAAAATCAGAAGAAAAAACCAGTCGTCAGCACAGACAAATACTACTACGTACCACTGTAACATATCATGGCTGAGGAAGTGAAGAAGTTTGGGATTTGGGGAAGCTTGTTATGTCACTGAGTGGACGTAGCTCTGAGACTGAGGGGCGTGAAAGCCGAATCTTATGAAGAGGACCTGCAGAACAAGAGTGCTTTGCTGCTCAAATACAACCCCGTTCACAAGAAGGTTCCTGTGCTTGTCCACAACGAGAAACCAATCGCGGAGTCCCTCGTTATTGTTGAATACATTGACGAGACTTGGAAGCATCAAGGCTCTCCCATTCTGCCTGAAGACCCTTACCAAAGAGCCAATGCACGCTTCTGGGCTCGCTTCATTGATGAAAATGTAGGGATTAGTGTTTCAGTTTAATCATTTTGTATGCAATTCAACGTAAAATGCACGCTTGCGATGCTCAACAGTAAACCTAAATCATGTTGGAGCAATATTAGAAAATATGAAAATCATAAATATAATTCCAATGATAATAATCATAAAGCAATTCACAACATCAATTATATAGGAGATTAATATAAACAACTAGAGTGAAAGTTAGAATAACTGACAAACTTGGAGATTGAGGCTTGCATAAATGCAATGTCCTAAAGATAGAATTTCGCCCATACTCTTGTGCTTGTAGTTCGGTAGGCGTCCATCTCCCATGATTCAACAATCTATAATCCGAAGTCAAAGCACTTCAATCTTCGGACTCTGGCGAACTTTATATATTCCGTACTCTCAAGACACAACTCGGAATTTGACACACAAAGCATGAGAGAAACAAAGTGGGGAAACCCTATTTCTCAAGAGTAAAAATTAACTCTAATTTATATTTAATACCAATGGTTTCATGGGTTTATATAGAATCCAACTTCTACTTATTAAAGAGATGTAACTTTTCATCTATAAGTATACATCACTTATCAAGGGAATATCACCTAAACAACATAACCTTTCTAAGAAATTGGTTAACATAATTTTTCATTCAATTATTAAAATTATATATTACAATATTTCATATTATAATATATAATTTCCAACAATCCCCCACATGAATGAAAAATTAGGAAGAATTTGAGAGTACAGGCAGACAAGAGATGCATCGGGAGAGGTGTCTTTTCGACTTGAACCTACCCTAGTGAATACTTATCGGGTTTACTTGGTGACGCAGTGGATGTAGAAGATCTTGAACTGTTCACCGCAGTAGTAAACAGAGACAATAAGCAACACACATCACTAACCCTAATATATAACGGTTCATACGGTTGTGTTCATTTTGGTCCTGAACAAATCCCGGATTCATGAGAGCTTTAGAGAATTTAGCCATCTCATTCTCATAGAAGCGACCCACTTGTACTCTCACATAGGTGACCACTGATTAAAAATAGTCTGCTCTATTCCTCTTATTTATAAGATATCACTGTCATTAAGTATAAATATACACCTTGAAACTTCTACAGACAACACACTTGTTCCATCATAGGAATGAGGTACGTAGTGTGTTAACTTCTTTGAATTATGCCCAACTAGTTTGCCTATTGAACTTAGACCATGGGATCTCCAATCAACTAAGTTAGGTTTCCGCCCGGCTGATTCATTAGTTATGTTGGCTTTAGCCTCATTCCCCTCGATGATCAACTTACTCTCTAGTCTAACCTTGAATAATTGGATCCACTACTAGGTTGACTTAATGGTGTACACAATCCATCTTATGAAATTATATTTCATATGAGAGTAGTTGTTTTCCAATGTTAAGTCCTCGAAACATAGGTTAGGACTTATTCAATAATTTGCTAACACTTGGAAATAGATTTCTCCCACATTTAAGGTATTTGTAAGAAGGTCTCTAACCTTGTCATACCTTAAACAATTACTCATTACAAGAGATGACATCTTAAATGTCGTTCAATTAGCAAATTACTTTTAACCAACCCCCACAATTCTTTCATAATTGTGGTTGCTTTTAATGGTATCACTCAATTGATCATTTTTCATACTTTAAGAAGTAGGAAGCAATGAAGACTATATCTTCATATAATTAGGGCCTTAATGCCTTACTAGCCGTTTTTGGAAAAGCACTTATTGGCCTTCATCCTTTAGCTTATAAGCTTTCAAAATTGTCACGGGTCTCAAACCCCCACACAAGAATGTTATCTCCCTTTTTGCCTCGGCCCCCCACAATTCAATCATCATCTTTCCAAGACAAGGTTAATTAATTCATCTCAATAGAATTTTGGGTTTCTCAAATAACTAATACTCTTGACTTGTGGCAATACTCGGTTTGTAGTTGTCATGACATAACTGGTCTTGAAAGAAGCATTAGGCTATAGTCATTCTTAGCACTACAAAGTTATCTCTGTGATTTATGGACCACATTCTATAGTGCCTTCTCATTCAATTATGTCAAATGGTGCATCATTTTAACAACCTCAAACACCATCTAGTGATAGAGAGAAACCATATCATCAGGTTCTTCAGCCCCAAAGTCCAAATGGATTACATTTTGCCTCTTTCTGATCATTTGGTTTCCTCAATAAAAATAGATCATTAATCCTTCTTATGCCAAACCACAAAAAGTAAATATTACAGCAAAAAAACCCATTGTTTACAGTATAAACAACTTTTCCACCAACTGGTATGAGAATGCACAAGAAAATTCATCATGAACCGTTAGAGATTTCTGAATTCCTCATTGAGTGAAGACGTCTCACATATTTTCCAGAAATTCTCAAGATTGAACAATAGATGTCATTCCTTTCTGCAAAAGAAACTTTATGCATGAACTGGGCATGATTCCCAGTACCAAATTGACATCAAATTCCAACCCAATACAACAGTGTGGTCATCTCTAATTAACCAGATAATGCAGATTTTGTATCATATCATTTGTTTTCTAACAGAAGAGTAAACATCAAACATGGCCTTTGAAAAGATATCTCATATGCAAACCAATTAACAAAAAACGATATGCCTCGTTTTAGCAAAACTTTTATGTATAGCAAATGTATATGGTGATTGTCCACAAATATTCATATCTGTTCGTGCATAAATGACAAACAAAGGATAGAATAGTCTGTCTAAAACCTAGCAGGCTTCAAACATCGAAGACCAAAACTTCCCTAGTTATCCTCATAACCAACACTAGTATATAATCATAACGTAACCACCAAATGAAGGCATGCATAAATGTCCAAGTCAATCTAAATATGAGTCTAAATGCTGCAACTATTAGCGTCAGTTAACAAGGCATTCATATAATGAAATAAATAACATGGCAGTAAGTATTTTAGTAAAGTAACCGCATGCACCGCTTCACGCATGCTTTCAGACATAAGAACAATCACAGCAACGTTCGCAAAAGATACATTACCTTTTGCATTAGACAGAACAAATTGCAATTATAACAACCTCATGCCATGTTAAATATATATATACCAATGGACAGCATAATCATTCATCAAGAATCTGCAGTATAAGGCAGTGGTACTGCACTTTCAATATCAGATTTATACATGTCAAGTAATCAAACTTTTCCAAAATCTGTCACATAAATTGCGCGCACACATTCATATTTCTAATTGTTCCATAGAGGTAAAAAAATTCTATCTTTAGATTGTTGGAGCAATATTAGAAAATATGAAAAATAACACAAGAACTTCAATGATAATAATCATAAAGAAATTTCACAACATCAATTATATATGTGATTAATATAAACAACTAGAGATAAAGTTAGAAAAACTGACAAACTTGAAGATTGAGGCTTGCATAAATGCAATGTCCTAAAGATAGAATTTCACCCCTACTCTTGTGCTTGTAGTTCGATAGGCGTCCATCTCCCAGGATTCAACAATCTATAATCCGAAGTCAAAGCCCTTCAATCTTCGGACTCTGGTGAACTTTATATATTCCGTACTCTCAAGACACAACTCGGAATTTGACACACAAAGCATGAGAGAAACAAAGTGGGGAAACCCTATTTCTCAAAAGTAAAAATTAACTCTAATTTTCTATATTTAATACCAATGGTTTCATGGGTTTATATAGAATCCAACTTCTACTTATTAAAGAGATGTAACTTTTCATCTATAAGTATACATCACTTATCAAGGGAATATCACCTAAACAACATAACCTTTCTAAGAAATTGGTTAACACAATTTTTCATTCAATTATTAAAATTATATATTACAATATTTCATATTATAATATATAATTTCCAACAAATCATTGATTATGTTGATTCTTACTAGAATGTTTGTTACACCTTAAGACGTACAATCTGACAACATAAGAATACGTCTATTTTGTTTTTTTTATATTTATGTTCAGTGCAAGCCGGGAATAATCAAAGCTTTCTTTGAGAAGGAGGACCGTGAGAAGGCGGTGGACGAAGCGCGTGGGCTTCTAAAACTACTTGAAAATGAGCTCAAGGACAACAAGTTCTTTGGGGGAGAGACTATTGGATTCGTAGACATTGCTGCTAACTTGATAGGCCACTGGCTTAAACCAGCTCAAGAAGCTTTGGAGTTGGGTCTGCTGAGCAAAGAGAAATCTCCTAAGCTCTGGGATTGGTATGATGAGTTTGTCAGTTTTGTTAAGGAAACTCTGCCTCCTACAGATAACCTAATTGGCCTCATCCTTAGTCGCGCAAGTTCGACATAGATGCTTTACAAGCATTTCATAGCTCGTGAATAAATTACAAGAAAAATTCTAGATTGTTATATCTTGAATTTGTTTATTAAATATTCATTCAGAGCAACTATCGTATTATGTCGTTGAATTGTGAATTTTGCCCGCCAAAGATTTAAAAACTTTGCATTTGCTTATAATAAACTAGAATCGCTCCTCTCTACAAATAAATTTTGAGAATTGATTCTAAAATAAAACTTCAACTCGGGTCTTAGACAACTCGTTATAGCGAAAGATAGAGCGGATAGAATTCGTCAATTGACAGATTGGCATGACTTGTTTCTTGCAAAGAAATGCAATAAATCCATAAATGCGCGCAATGACAATGAGACAAAGATGTTCATTGAACCGTGTCTTGTGGTCAATTGGGATGGCTATGATTTTTTATTTTTTTGGACAAGAATGAAGCTTTATTAATGAAAGAGAAATACAATTTGTGTTAAGAAAGGCCTAAACCTAAACAAAACACAAAGTCCTACATAACAAAGCAAACATAAAAAAGAAACCAAGCCCAAGAAAACAAGCCCAAATAAAAAAGCTACAACCTCAGCCACAAAGGGAGACCCACACAAATTTAGGCCCGTATGCTACAAAAGAAGCAGTGAACAGTAGAACCCTAATCTCCAATCGCCAAAACCCAGCCACCACCGGCACAACCGCTGCTACCTCCACGAAGGAAGACATCACACCAAACTGAAAAATGCACCCTAACCAAAAACTAGATCTGAGAGTATTAAGCACAGTCAATCCACCAAGAGCCCAAGCCTCCATAGCCACACCTGCAAGAAAAGTCACCAAAAGTAACAGGAGGAGGGGGAGGGCGAAGGGGGTGTGTAAAACACCCTTGTTCCGACGTGAATCGTTCCGCACTTCACCCAATTTTTTCGGTAAGTCGGATTGACAGTGAGTTATGAAGGTTGGGCCTTGAGTCAAGATAGAACCCAACACTCCGAGATCTAATTCCTGGTTAAGAGTTGGAATAGATGAAGGGCAGGAAGAGGGAGGTAGGAGAAAAGGGTGTGATGGGGAGGGAGGAGGGCGATGGTGGTGAGCAGCAGTTGGTTGAGGAGCAGGTACAAAACTGAGACAAGAGCTCAGATAGATGAGACATAACTCATAATGACAGATTATTATAAAAACCAGATCCAAGATTGTAATTAATTATCGATAATACAATTTTAATGGTGTTGCATGCTTGGGTCCTTGACGACGGTCACAGGGATTGGAGCATTCGTGAGCACATAGTTGCTCACACTCCCCAGTAGGATCCTGTTTAATTTCCACAAAACAAATAGATTAAACATATAATCCCAAATTAATTAAGAAACTCTTACTATAAAACTAAAAGAGAAAATTGGAGCATGGTCCAAAATAAAAAACCATTTGTATTCATCCCTATACTCATCATAGTGTGAAGTACTAGTCGTTTCGGATAATTTTGTTAGAACTCCTATCTTTTATTTGTGCTATTTTGAATAGAAGCTCTTGAGGTGTTACCTAAAAGGTCTAGTACTCTACGTTGTGACAAAATCGAAAAACCAATCCTCACAGAATTTTAGTTCAGTTACCAAAGTTCAATTCCATATAAAATTCAGATCAATGCTCCAATTTTCAATTCCATATAAAATTCAAGAAAACTGCATAGATACCTTTTGATGGTGCCAAGGCCTCTGCTCCCCATGACCAAAGAGTCCAGTTTCAGATCTTCAACTGCTTGAAGCAGCTTCTCCCTTGCATCTCCCCAATACAATTTTGTCACAACATTCACCTGCAAATTAAATCCCATCAAATATCAAGCACAAAAAAATCACTGATCAAAATCCAGATCAAAATTATGCCATTAATCAAAGCAAACCTCTCTCTGCCTGGAAGCAGTGTCGAGTGTGTCAAGAACTTCTGTATCAGTTTGGACACCGTACTTCGTCATAATCTCAGGCTCCCTAAACTCTGTCAATGGAATCAGAGCTGCAAAAAGCAAAAAATCCCAGATCAGATACATAACCAATATCATCAAAGCTTCAAACTTTACCTATAAACAGTACGTTTTGTAGGAGAGTTTAATATAAACTCATTTTCAAATGGCATATTTAGAATAGACATTTGTTCCATAGACTAAAATACTCTGGTCGACGAGAAGGATAAGATGACCTAGCTAACTGGCATAAGCTCACATCTACGAAATTATAAGTGTACTTACGAGAACCGGATTGGGCCCAGAGCTGGGTGCGGGACTCGTCGAGGGAGTTGGGGTTGATGTGGATGATATAAAGGGTGTCACCCTTGTCAGCCAAGTTGGCAATCGCCCATTCCAAAGCGTTCTTGCTGCTCTTCGAGAAGTCCATCGCCACACCAATCTTCCTATCCTTTCCCATTCCCTCTGATCTCTCTCTCTCTCGATCTCGATCTTCTGCAACTCTAGGGTTCTATATCAGACAAGAAAACACAATCGTTGCGCGTGAACGTTTAAAAAAGACGAGTTTCGAAGCTTGTAGAGTAAGCAGAATATAAAGAAAAGATGGAGCGTTTTAGGCCTGTAGGGGTTGTGCGTTTTACTGTTGGCTGGTATTTGTTTTTCGTTTCATCCTGACCGCCCACGCTGGTCCAGGGGACCAGTGGTGGGTTCCACTTTTGTTTAATATGGGATTAAAGGCCGTTGGATCGTCACATGGGGCTTCTTGATGTGGTCGCGTGATAGAAGCACCACGACACGATGAACGTGAACTCGTTAGGTTTCGGATTGGCATGCCTGCCCGGTGTGGCAGTGATTCAGTGTTCTGGATATTGGATGTATGATACTTTAATGGGTCGGTTGCTTAAGCTTTATAACACTAATTAATCAAAGAAAAGGAGTGATTTTTGTGCTCTTGTTTTTACCACTGGATTTTATTTTTAATTTTTTAATTAATGAAAAAAATAAATTAAAACATAATCAACGGATAGAAAATAAAACGTGCAGAAGGTCGAAATGGAGTACGAAAATCATAATGTTTGTTCGATTCAATGGTTCTAGAAAGGTGGTAAATGTTTATTCTCACAAGTTTGATGGTCTCTCTTTGTAACTTGTACAAAAGAAGAAACAAGGTTCACTAGAGAAATATGCATCCATGATGAAGAAAATTGATTTGATAGATTACCCGTACGAGTTTGATGGTCTCTCTTTGTAACATGTTGCTCACTGTATGACAAGCATTAAATTAAGGAAACTTTAACGAAAAATTTCCGGTACTATTCACTTTAACGAAAAATCACATTTTTACACTAAAAAGTCAATCCTAGTACTATTCACTTTACTCTTTATTTTGTCCTTATCATTCAAACTCAAAGTTTTCAAGCCTTTTTCATTAGTTTTCCTTTAAATTAATAAGGTTCACTTCTTAGGATTGCACAAGTGTCGTTATTATATTTTGATTTCGAGAGATTTTTTAGTATGCTAGAAACACAGTCTGATAAACTAATTGTAACAATATAATTAGTTGTATACTTAAAAAGTAAACCGCACCTTGGAAAAGCTCTCTCTAATTCAAGAGATAACCTCTTCCTATTCTCATGTCTTGAATGAGTCAAGTAAACTTAGTCCACTTGTCCCTTAACAAGAGAGAGATGAATAATATAACAGGTGGCGTTAGCTAAACAAAATTCGTGTTAAGCCGATAGTGGCAAGGTACAGGCCGGGTCCAGCTTTGGCCCTTTAGATTGGGGCCGGCCCTCTTCGGCCCCCAGCCGCGGACCAAATGGTTGCGAAGCTGCCTAATATCAAAACCCCAAAGGAAAGGAAATAAAATGGATGCGGATGAGTTGCCATTATTGTTTTGCTTTCCAGAATTTGGAAGAAGGAAGCTGATTTGCATTTTCCTTTGTCCTTGTCGTGTGACTCATACAGTCATATGACTTTTTTTTTTTTTGAACAAAACAGTCATATGACTTATGATCGTATCTCCTTAATTCTGTAGCCAATATCTTCGCTGCAGTTTCAATTGAATTACAAGAAAAAGAAAAAAGCAATAAATTATGTGGTGCAAATGCGACAAAGCAGCTTTTACAATACATATATAACTGTTGAATAATGTGAAAAGACTTTAACTTGACTGTTAAATAGTTTTGTATTAAGTTACATTTAAGTTTTTTATGATAAAATTCAACACGTATATTGTTGTGTAGGTGGTTAAATTGAAACACTATTAGTGATTAATTGTGAACTACTAAGGGCTGGTTTGGTATTGATATGCTTTGAAAAAAAACTGCTGTGAAAATAAGCGGCTGTGAAATAAATCAGTAAAGTGTTTGGTAAACTTTTTTGTAAAAGTGCTTTTGGAAAAAAAAGCAGTCTGATAGTGGGTCTTTTCATTAAAAGAGCACTGTAGCTCTGTGTGCTTTGAAAAAAGCCAGTTTCCAAAGCTGCAAATAGTAGCTTCAGTTTTTTCCTTTGATTTCAGCTTATTCTCACACCAGCTTCCAAAATAAGCTTTTTTTTCAGTTTATCAAACACCTAAAACTCTCACAGCTTTTTTTCATGGGTGCTTTTTTTTTTTAAGCATCTCACTCCCAAACCACCCATAACCCATCTCTCTGAAATCCTAACATGAAAACATTGAAGAGATTTTATGCAGAAAATTCAGCAAGACAAGTCAGTCGAGGACACCTCGCTCTGTAAATAACCAAATCCAGCATTGCTGAGTTTGTGTACACATTGTTTTGTTTTGGGTTACTGGAAGATAGGAAACACACACCCATTTAATAATTTGACCCCAAAAAATAATAATAATAAGTTCTAGTAAGTTTTGGGCTAGTATTTTGTATTTTCAGGTCTCTATGCTGTGGTATATAGACTTGTGTTTTTTAACCAAGAATCTAAAAGTTAGAAAAACATATCCGATACTCCGATGGAACCATAAAAAATCTCCTCATACCAAATGAAATGATAATTGATACTAAGATAGCAGGTTGCAAGATCATAAATTTAGGTTTAACTATAATGGTACGTAGCAGTCAGTGGTATGGGGTTTACACAAAATGTGGAAATTATCTATTAGATCCATATCTACTAGATCTAACCGTTGATTTTTCAAATCACTAACTAATTGGAATGCATCATGATGAAAGAATGCATAAATTCATAAAAATTCTTGAGTTTAATAATAATAAGCCCTTATAAGTGGTTTGAAAAGCATAACAGCATAACGAGAGTCATGCTGTTTTGGTATTTTAAATGAATAACGTGATGTCATGTATTTTAAAATTTATACATGACGGTGAATTATTGATCCCAAATACCATGGTAACATTCCAAGATGTGTGTACAAGTCTCACGCTATAAAAAAAAATAATTTTTTTTTTAAATCTCCCTAAACAAATGAGTTGTGCTATCATCCACACCAACGACAGTCGCATATCTTTGCGACAAACATCAATAGTTGAACATTTTACTAGCATTTGGCGTCACACTAATTACATAAATTATTCAAGTTCAGATAACCTGCTAGCATGACTCAGGCGCACGAGCACAACCAATGATCTTGGCCATGGCAAAGTCCATCCTAGTTCGTGTAGTTTCCTCTTTCCTGTATGTAAATTAAATTTACATTCTAACTAATTGTCATTCTTAGGGCTGGTTTGGTATTAATGTGCTTTGCAAAAAAAATTGCTTCTGCTGTTGTTTGGGCCCAAAAATATTGGTTTGGGCCGAGTTTAGAATTGTTCTCAGCCCGGTGCTAGTTGGGCCGAGTGTAGAATTGTTCTCGTCCCAGAAGCCGTGTTTAGGTGTCATTGAGAGGTATCTAGCTCATGGGCCGCGCAGTTGAAGCTGACCATATCTCGTCGGGAACCTGTGGGATATGGGTGATGCTTATTACGAGAAGGAGTTTCGGCATGATAAGGATGTTAAAGTTTGAAATTGAATGCGGCCTGATAATGAGTTAAGTTCAAAGTCCTAGTACAAGTAGGACTGGCTGAGATAAGGTTGAATCGAGAAAATGAGTTCTGATCCGAGAATGATTGGGATTCAATACAGGTTGGCTACTATAAATAGGGAGGGAGGACATTGAACAAGCCCCCTCCAATTCAACACACAAACTACCATGTGCAAACTCTCGCTCTTCGCGAAACCTCTCATCAACTTTGAGATTTTTACTTTCTTTTTCCGCCGACATACCTTCAGTTTGGATAAACAACACTGTTGCTGTAGAATCAACCGACTGCGAAGCACCTTCAGTTTGGATAAACAGTACTGCAACAGGGTTGACTGGTTATCTATCTAAGTCTCGGTCGGGAAGGATTTTCGGATCCTTATTGGCAGAGGTCATCTCATCAGCTTTCTTGGCGAAGTAAGGTGTTACTAGGGCTCGACACATCGAACGCCGAGTTGTTCATGATTGGGTATTCGCAAGTAGGTTTTAGAGTTCGGCATTCTGACGGCCAAACCACTTTCACAATCTAGACGTATATTTTTTTGAGTATTTGTGTCCCTATACTCTGGTGTCGATTCGACGTGCTTATACTCTCACGAACATAATCATCGTGATCGAATCCAGCGCCGATGATTTGTGAACTTCGCACAACTAGCAGCTTTGTCTTCAGACTCTAGAACCCGAAGGCCGAGAGTGTTCCTTCCTCGGTCGCAGTCGCAAGATCGAAAAGTCAGTCGTGCACCCAACGCAACATCAACAAATTTTACTCCCTGGCCGAGCTCGGCTGAAGAGTTGGCACACCCCGCATACAACCGAATGACATAGTTAGCTTACTAATTACTCAACCTGCGCACCACGTAGATTTAGTAGTTTTTAGGGTCAACAGCTGTACTGTGAGAATAAGCAGCAGAGTGTTTGGTAAACTTTTTTGTAAAAGTGCTTTTGAAAAAAAAAAAAAAGCAGTATTATAGTGTTTGATAAACTTTTATGTAAAACAGATGTGAAAAAAAAGCTGGTTTTTCAAAGCTGGGTTTTGCAACTTACCAAACCAAGGCTTAACCCATCTCATGTAGTCTCTGTTGCGGTTTATATATTTATATATTAGTTAAAATGTAAATAGTAGTATGTTGTCTTACATTTACAAAGTGCATATGTAATATCAATTGTAACTCATATATATATTCTACTTTAGAGATTAATGAATATACAAGAAATTCTCAAATATTGTCATATATATTTTTGGTATTTTACCATGTTTAATTCAACTTAGTATCAGAGCCAGGAAGCGGGCTCGTACTGTACTGTCACGTAATGGGTGGGTTCCCTTGGCCTCGCGCGATAATGGTGGGTCTCTTGGCCCTGCGTGTAGGAAGAGTCCCCTTGGCTTCACATGGTTATCGAGATGTGTGGATCTCCCACGTATGATCCACTAATTGGGTCCCATGTGAGACCGACTAATTGGGTCCCACGTGAGGGGGTGTGTTGAAATGTCCCACATCAACCGTATCAATGAGAAAAGACAAGTTTAAATATCCTAACCGCACTCCAATTAACACCGAGACTTTTTGTGATAAAACCTCACAAATGACGGATTGTGCAAGTAGTAATTTCTAAGTTTGGGACAAT